ACAATTTAAACAAATCTAGCCAGTCATTAAAAGTGAGTGAGTGAGTGAGTGAGTTAATATTTACCGTCACATCGGCAATATTTCAGCCATATCGTGACGTGAACGATAAAAAATCATATCATAAATCAATAGAATTAGAAAATTTAAAAACGCCTGTTGACGAAAAACAGTAAAACAACTAGTGCATCACAGATATCCATTTTAAAACTAGTCATTCAATCTTCAATATTTTAACTATATATGACAATACAGTATAAAAACAGGCTATAGGTTGCCAACAACTGAAGGTAGATCACCTTACTAGGGATCATGGGGACTTACAGTACATTTGCTTCCTGCATGGAGCCTAGCTGGATTTACACCATCCCTTCAGCCGTTAGCAATTTTGACAAATCTAGCCTTACATTAAAACGACACATATTCTACGATTGAAAGGTGGAGAGTTTAAATTAACTTTGAATGTTTTGGGACTAACGTATCCTCTCAGGAGGGCCCGGACATTAAACGCACACATATACTGCGATTAAAAAGAAAGGCTACATTAAACAGACTTTGAAAATTGTAAGACTTACGTTCCCTCTCAGGAGGAAATTAGTTTTACAGTACTTTAACCCCCTTTGAGGATACAGCCCTGAACAATCTCAGTCGATAATCTAACCTACCAATTATAAAATATTTATCTATTTACAGAACACATATCAAAATGTATGCAGCCATTCAATTTTTTTTTTAAAAAGCAATAATTAAATGATAATCTCTCATTGTTTTGACTTTACAATATGTATCCCCTGTGATTGAAAAATCAATACAGTCAAGCAGGATATGTTTGGCCGTGAGTCTTTCATCGCAAGGGATACAAACCGGAGGATCTTCATCTTTTAACAGATGTTTGTGGATGTATTTTGAGTGACCAATGCGACATCATAATGACCTCTTCAAATCTGACAACCCAAGTAGGTGTTATTATACCTACTTGGGTGTCCCACTTTCTTTGCTTTAGATCATGGACATAGAATCTAATAGTAGCTTTGTAATCGGAGTATGGAATAAGAAGTGGTGTCACAGTTTTGTTGAGTGCTGCTCTAGCAGCAACATCAGTCCTTGTGTTACCAGAAATGCCAACGTGGCTGGGTAACCAACAGAGAACTATGTCGCACTGGCCAGTACGAATATGATTATATAATTCAACAATTTCAGTTAATAGTGGATGTTTACAAGAGAGATTTTTAATAGCCTTTTAAAAGGAAGGAAATAAATTCAGAAAATATTATGTATTGTTTATATTTACGGTGTGTTTTTAATTTATTTAAGAGCTGTTAATTTGGCGTTAGCTTCTGCTGTGAAAATAGACTTGTTAGTTGGTAATCGTGAAGATATTGTTCTGGATCCAATGACAGTGGCACAAGCCACTGCGCCTCCATCCTTGGACCAATCTGTAAATTAGGATGTGTATGTATTATACTTACGTTAATATTGAGTTTAGTTCGGTTTTCCGTCACATCGGCATTTTTCCAGCCATATAGTGACGAGAACAAGTTTGCATTAATAAACATTGTCAGTACATACTCGGTATGAGTTTTATTTCAAAAACATATATTCATTACATTGTCATTTAAAAGCAGAAAAAGTAATAGCATCAAATTTAAAGGCAGGCACTTTGTTAGTGACATTCCATAGTTACAATTTATGATAGTTACATTTCACAGTTACAATTTATGATACAGATCAACTTCCCTCAGGTAGTTCACTATCAGATGAGCGCTCACGCGTGAGAACAGATCTTTTAGGTTTGTTGCATCATAATGTGAGTCCCTTGCAGACGATAAGTCCACGCATTCAAGCAGAATATGCTTGATGGCGAAAACCTCATCGCAAGAGACACACATGGGGGGTCCATCCCCATCCGTTTTCAGCAGATAGTCATGAGTAAATCGACTGTGGCCAATACGACATCATCGTAAAATTAGCTCATCACGTCTTGACTGACAACCAAAGTAGGTATAACCAATTGTTGGTTTCAATTCATACAGTTTATTTCTTCCTACTTGAGTGTCCCATCGTTTTTGCATCAGGTCCCGAGTATAGCTTTTGATAGTGGGTTTGAAATCACTGTACGGGATCAGCAGTGGAGATAAGGGCTTTTCAAGAGCTGCTTTTGCGGCAGCATCGGCTTTTTGTGTTACCTGCTATGCAGACGTGACCCGGCAACCAGCAGAAGACGATGTCGCATTGGGCAGTAGAGAGGTCGTTGTAAAGTTCCAAAATGTCCAGAATGATTGGGTGACTTGAAGTAACATTTTGAAGTGCTTGAAGGCAGGATAATGACTCTGTGAAAACGATGAAGTTTTTGGAATGATTCTGCTGTATAATTTAGGTCAGAGCTGAAAAGATAGCTTTGGCCTCGGCAGTGAAAATGGAACTGCTGTCGGGAATCCTAGAGGAGACAGTCTTGGATCCAATGACTGTAGCACTGGCGACTTGGCCCTCAACCTTGGAACCGTCTGTGAAAATGGATCTATGGGTGTCATACTTGGAACGTAACGGGATGTATTCCTGCTCGAACACCAAGGGATTTGTTTCAGACTTTTTGAATTTAATGAGGGTAAGATCGACCTGTGGTTTCACCATCTGCCAGGGTGGTGAAGACAGGAGTTGGTAAGGTGCTATGCTACTGAGATCAATTTGAGCTGCAGATATGAGTGGTTGAGTTGAGTTGAGTTTGGCTTAACGTCACATCGGCATTATTCCAGCCATATAGTGACGAGAACAAGTCTGCATTAATATACATTGTAAGTACAAAGTGGTTTCGTTTCAAAGACACACATTCATTACATTGTCATTTTGGAACAGAGAATGTCCTAGCACTAAATTGAAATGCAGGAAAATTCGTTAGTGACATTACACAGTTACAATTTATGATATAGATCAACTTCCCTCAGGTAGTTCAGTATCAGATGACCGCTCACGCTGGAGAACAGATCTTTCAGATTGGTTGCGTGATAATGCGAGTCCCTTGCAGATGATAAGTCCACACAGTCAAGCAGAATATGCTTGATGGTGAAAGCCTCATCGCAGGAGAGACATATGGGGGGTCCATCCCCATCCGTTTTTAGCAGATAGTCATGTGTAAATCGACTGTGGTCAATACGACATCGTCGTAAAATTACCTCATCACGTCTTGACTGGCAACCCAAGTAGGTATAACCGATTGTTGGCTTCAATTCACGGAGTTTGTTTCTTCCTACTTGAGTGTCCCACCTTTTTTGCATCAGGTCCCGAGTATAGCTTTTGATAGTGGGTTTGAAATCGCTGTATGGGATTAGCAGTGGAGATAAGGGTTTTTCAAGAGCTGCTTTGCTGCAGCATCGGTCTTGGTGTTACCTGCTAGGCCGACGTGACCCGGCAACCAGCAGAGGACGATGTCACATTGGCCAGTAGAAAGGTTGTTGTAGAGTCCTAATATGTCCAGGATGATTGGGTGACTTGAAGTCACATTTTGAAGTGCTTGAAGGCAGGATAATGAATCTGTGAAAACGATGAAGTTTTTGGAATTTTTTGCTGTTGAATGTAGGTCAAAGCTGAGAAGATAGCTTTGGCTTCAGCGGTGAAAATGGAACTGTTGTCGGGGATCCTAGAGGAGACAGTCTTAGATCCAATGACTGTAGCGCTGGCAACTTGGCCATCGTCCTTGGATCCGTTTGTGAAAATGGATCTATGGGTGTTATACTTCGAACGTAACTTGTTGTATTCCTGTTGGAACACCAAAGGATTTGTTTCAGACTTTTTGAGTTTGGTGAGGGTAAAATCGACCTGTGGTTTCACCATTTGCCATGGTGGTGAGGACAGAAGTCAGTAAGGTGGGATGATGTTGAAATCAATTTTAGCTGCAGATATGTGTGGTTTGATCCTGATTCCAAGTGGTGGAACCAGGCTTGGCAGTTTAGGAAACAAGTTTTCAAAGAGCGGGTTGAAAAGACAGTTGTATGCTCGATTGGACTCATTTGAACGTAATTTAGTGATATACTGCAGTGAGAGTTTAATGCGGCGTTGTTCAAGGGAAGGTTCATCGGCCTCCGCATATAGACTGTCTACCGGAGAGGTCCTAAAAGCTCCCAGACAGAGCCTCAGCCCTTGGTGGTGGATAGAGTCTAATTTTTCTAAATTGCTTTTGCAGGCTCCACCGTAGACAATGGAGCCATAATCTAGTTTACTGCGAACTAATGATCTGTACAAGTGCAGGAGGGTGGTCTGATCCCCTCCCCACTCTGTATTTGAGACTACTTTTAGCAAGTCTAGAGCCTTCAAGCACTTTGTTTTCAAATATTTTATCTCAGGTAAGAATGTCAGGTGGCGGTCGAATATGAGTCCAAGGAATTTGGCCTCTTCTACTACCTTGATGGGAGTACCATCTAAAGATACGTCCGGATCCTTGTGTGGTTTGTATTTACGACAAAAGTGAATACAATTTGTTTTAGATTTTGAAAACTTAAAACCATTTTCATTGGCCCATTTTTGGATTTTGTTAAGGCAGAGTTGTAGCTGCCTTTCTATTGTGTGCATGTTCTTACCACGACATGAAATATTGAAGTCATCCACGAAAAGGGACCCATCAACGCAACTGTTCAGAACGTTAGTGAGGCTGTTAATTTTGATGCTAAAAAGTGTGACAGACAGGATGCTGCCTTGGGGGACGCCCTGAGTTTGATGGAAATAGTCAGACAGTGTGGAACCCACCCGAACTTGAAATTGTCTGTTGTTTAAAAACCGAGATATGAATTGAGGTAGTCTACCCCTTAATCCAAACTCGTGTAAGTCTTTTAGGATACCACGTTTCCACGTTGTATCATATGCTTTTTCTAAGTCGAAAAAGATAGATACGGTATGTTGTTCGTTGACAATGGAGTTTTTGATGAATGCTTCCAGACGCACCAGATGGTCAATGGTACTTAGTCTTTTTCGGAAACCACATTGGAGGTCACTAAGGAGATTACTGGTCTCCAAGTACCTGATTAATCGATTGTTGACCATGCGCTCCATGGTTTTGCAAACACAGCTAGTTAGTGATATAGGACGGTAGTTTGAGGGATTAGTATGATCGCGGCCGGGTTTTGGTATAGGGAGGATAATGGCGTTGTGTCACGAAGGGGGAAAGTGTCCAGATGTCCAGATGTCATCAAATATATTTAGTAGTGTTTCCAAGCCTGAGTCAGGGAGGTGTTTCAGAAGCTGATAATGGATTTCATCAGCTCCTGCCGCAGTGTCGTGAGCCTGTCCTGGGGCAGTACGTAATTCATGGAGGGAAAACGTTTCGTTGTAATCCTCCCCATTATCAGAGTTAAAATTGACTGGTTTCTTTTCTTGTTGGGTTTGATATTTCTGGAACTGAGGGTTATAATTTGATGAGGAGGAGTGGTTTGCCAAAGTTTCGCCAAGTTTGTTTGCAATTTCAGATTTATTTGTTAGGAGAGAGTCACCATCTTTCAGGTGGTGAACTCCTGATTTTGACCCTTTGCCCTTGATCTTTTGAATCATGTTCCACACCTTGGACATGGGTGTGCGGGAGTTGATTTTGGACACATATTTCCTCCATGACCGGCGTTTAGTTTGTTTGAAGGTACGTTTTGACCTGGCATTTGTCATTTTAACAGCATTCAGGTTATGCACTGTAGGATGTTGTCGGAAATAATTTTCCGCCTTCTTCCTATTTTTCCTAGCTTGTTTGCAGTTTGTATCAAACCATGGTTTGCGTATGTGCGGGTTTGCAGAGGACTTAGGAATACCTTTGTCTCCGATGGCATTTAGGACGTCTGAAATAGTTCCATGGGGTCAGGAACATTCCTGAAGTTGTCCGGCTTAAGTTTTTCTGAACATAGGATTTGGAATAATGGCCAATTGGCCTTAGTAAAGTTCCATCTTGTTGATGGTGGTTCATCCGTGGGGTTGATAGGAGTAAGAATTGTTGGGAAGTAGTCGCTTCCACAAAGGTCGTCATGGACCGACCATTCGAACTCATTTAGGCACCCCTTGAAGAGCAACCTCCTCGTGTTGGGTGCTGGGTAACGCTAATGGCTCTTCGCCCTGTGTGGACCCGGGGTCGAATAGGTCCACAGCACCCCATTGCTGGTCGTAAGAGGCGACCAAATTGGGCAACCCGTTTGCCGTGGGTTGCATCCCTGTGTCGGCAGAGGAAGGGGGTCTGGTGGTTGAGGATGACGGAACCAGCAATAGCGTTCACTAATCCAACACACCACTTCGACCCTAACTTTGCCTAGACGGGTGGTAGAATAGGCCTGATTCTACCAATCGGCTGGTCACGCCTTGCCCCGTGCATGGAATGTCTATACAAAAAGTGGTATTACATAACACTTTTGACCATGTTCAAAATGTTAACAAATACTCTACGAAACAATTTAGCCTCGCAGACCCATGCACAGAAGGCGGTGGCTCATGGGCCAATCTGCTGATGCTGACCTCCGATTTCTGTACGTCTCCAATTGATTGTCATGGACAGAACCATCCTGACCTTTAATCTGGTAGGCAGCTACAGCATTTCATGTCAAATTCGCTGGAGTATAACACCCCCTTATCCCTGGTCTTTGCAGCTTGGAGATCCACTGCAATATAAGATCGTCCTTGTTGACACTCCACGGTGGGTGGGGAGAGGGGATGCCGAACCACATTACCCACGACATGGCTTCCCAATACCCCGGTTCAAAACGAAGACACATGGATACCAACAATTCCTCGTCTGACGAGAGTACGCCCCCCTGACCTGACTACTGGCCACGCTTCCTGATTATTGAGGCTTGTGACAAGCAACCTTTGCAATTGAATCCTTTTGCAATCTCCAAAGGTATCGCTGGTATCTGCGGAGAGGTTGCCAATGTCACAAAGCTCCGATCTGGCTCTCTCCTGATAGAATGTACCCGGAAACACCAATCTTTAAATCTTCTCAAAATACAAGAATTTGTAAATATCAAGGTCACTGTCTCAGCACACAAAGCCCTTAATTCGTGTAGAGGCATTGTACGGGACAGAGCTCGATGCCTGTCTGACATGACTGAAGAACAAATTGTCAAGGAACTCTCTCAGCAATCCGTCACAGCCGTCAAATGATTTACCTTCAAAAAGGATGGTGTTGTTCAACCAACGAACTCCTATCTCTTCACGTTCGCGCGAGCAAACATTCCTGACTCGATTAAAGCTGGTTATTGTAGCATTGGTGTGGAGGTGTATGTCCCCAATCCACTCCGGTGCTACAACTGCCAACAGTTTGGACATGGATCCAAGTCCTGTCGTTCCTCTGCTGTCTGTTACCGCTGTGGTGACAAGCATGAGGGCAACGACTGTACTAAGGAAGTGAAGTGCCCAAACTGCGGTGGTAACCATATGGCCTCTTCCAAGTTCTGCCCAGTATGGAAACGCGAATCCGAGATACTGAAGATTAAACACAAAGAAAATATCTCCTTTCACGAAGCAAAGAAGAGGGTTGCAAGTCTAACTGCAGTCCCTTCAACCATCACCTACTCTGCTGCTGTCTCCCGTCCTACCATCACTACTGCAACCATCTCATGTCAGACCGACCTGACATGGGTCACGTCTTCTCAGCCAACTGAACTCAACACAACTCAGCCTATCTCAGCCACTCCATCTCCAACGCCAAAAGTCAAAACTTCTGAATCACAAACGCCAGAACAAATGCCAAAACCAGAGACAGAAACTGCGCGCAGAAAAAGGGAAAAAAGAGGCTAGAGAGACTAAAGCAACTCGAACAACCGCCAAACACAAAACCAAAGGCCACCTCTCTCCTCAGAGGACCCCATCGAGGTCCATAACTCCTTTGGCCCTCTGGATATGGAGGTAACTCCATCTCCACCAGACACCAATAGGAGTTCATCAAACGCTTTCACGTTCACGTGACATGTCACCAGTGGAAGCACCATGAATCCACAAAACATTATCCAATGGAATTGCGGAGGACTTAAGAATAATTATAATGAATTACAGTTATTGATTCAAGACTTCAAACCATCCGCATTTTGTCTCCAAGAAACCTACCTAAAAAGGACTGATAAATTTGACATCCGTCGGTACAGTTCCAACCACTCGTTTTCTCCTCCCGGTGTAAAAGCTACAGGAGGCACTTCTGTCCTGGTGAGGCAGGGCACCCTCCATAGCCCTGTTCGACTTAACACCAACCTACAAACTGTTGCTGTCCGCATAACTCTGAACATAGGGTTTACACTATGTTCCCTCTATTTCCCTCCCACCTCAACTGTCCGCCTATCAGATCTTTAGAACTTATACGATCAACTCCCAAAGCCCTGCATAATCATGGGCGACTTCAACGGCCATAACCCCCTATGGGGGAGTAATGATACAAATAGTAAGGGAAAGATCCTTGAAGAGTTTCTCTCCAATAATGATGTATGCATCTTCAACGATGGATCAAACACCTACCTCCATCCTGCCACTGGAACATACTCTGCCCTCGATCTATCACATACAGATTCTAATCTTTCAAATGAGTTTGAATGGTCGGTCCATGACGACCTTTGTGGAAGCAACCACTTCCCAACAATTCTTACTCCTATCAACCCCACGGATGAACCACCATCAACAAGATGGAATTTTACTAAGGCCAACTGGCCTTTATTCCAAATCCTATGTTCAGAAAAACTTAAGCCGGACAACTTCAGGAATGTTCCTGACCCCATGGAACTATTTTCAGACGTCCTAAATGCCATCGGAGACAAAAGTATTCCAAAGTCCTCTGCAAACCTGCACATACGCAAACCATGGTTTGATACAAACTGCAAACAAGCTAGGAAAAATAGGAAGAAGGCGGAAAACTATTTCCGACAACATCCTACAGTGCATAACCTGAATGCTGTTAAAATGACAAATGCCAGGTCAAAACGTACCTTCAAACAAACTAAACGCCGGTCATGGAGGAAATATGTGTCCAAAATCAACTCCCGCACACCCATGTCCAAGGTGTGGAACATGATTCAAAAGAACAAGGGCAAAGGGTCAAAATCAGGAGTTCACCACCTGAAAGATGGTGACTCCCTTCTAACAAATAAATCTGAAATTGCAAACAAACTTGGCGAAACTTTGGCAAACCACTCCCCATCAAATTATAACCCTCAGTTCCAGAAATATCAAACCCAACAAGAAAAGAAACCAGTCAATTTTTAACTCTGATAATGGGGAGGATTACAACGAAACGTTTTCCCTCCATGAATTACGTACTGCCCTAGGACAAGCTCACGATACTGCGGCAGGAGCTGATGAAATCCATTATCAGCTTCTGAAACACCTCCCTGACACAGGCCTGGAAAGACTCCTGAATATATTTGATGACATCTGGACATCTGGACACTTTCCCCCTTTGTGGCACAATGCCATTATCCTCCCTATACCAAAACCCGGTCGCGACCATACTGATCCCTCAAACTACCGTCCTATATCACTAACTAGCTGTGTTTGCAAAACCATGGAGCGCATGGTCAACAATCGATTAATCTGGTACCTGGAGACCAATAACCTCCTCAGTGACCTCCAATGTGGTTTCCGAAAAAACCGAAGTACCATTGACCATCTGGTGCGTCTGGAAGCATTCATCAAAAACTCCATTGTCAACAAACAACATGCAGTATCTATCTTTTTCGACTTAGAAAAAGCATATGATACAACATGGAAACATGGTATCCTAAAAGATTTACACGAGTTTGGATTGAGGGTAGATTACCTCAATTCATATCTCGGTTTTTAAATAACAGACAATTTCAAGTTCGGGTGGGTTCCACATTGTCTGACTATTTCCACCAAGATCAGGGCGTCCCCCAAGGCAGCATCCTGTTTGTCACACTTTTTAGCATCAAAATTAACAGCCTCACTAACGTCCTGAACAGTTGCGTTGATGGGTCCCTTTTCGTGGATGACTTCAATATCTCATGTCGTGGTAAGAACATGCACGCAATAGAAAGGCAGCTTCAACTCTGCCTTAACAAAATCCAAAAATGGGCCAATGAAAATGGTTTTAAGTTTTCAAAATCTAAAACAAATTGTATTCACTTTTGTCGTAAATGCAAACCACACAAGGATCCGGACGTATCTTTAGATGGTACTCCCATCAAGGTAGTAGAAGAGGCCAAATTCCTTGGACTCATATTCGACCGCCACCTGACATTCTTACCTGAGATAAAATATTTGAAAACCAAGTGCTTGAAGGCTCTAGACTTGCTAAAAGTAGTTTCAAATACAGAGTGGGGAGGGGATCAGACCACCCTCCTTCACTTATACCGATCATTAGTTTGCAGTAAACTAGATTATGGCTCCATTGTCTACGGTGGAGCCTGCAAAAGCAATTTAGAAAAATTAGACTCTATCCACCACCAAGGACTGAGGCTCTGCCTGGGAGCTTTAGGACCTCTCCGTAGACAGCCTATATGCAGAGGCCAATGAACCTTCCTTGAACAACGCCGCATTAAACTCTCACTGCAGTATATATCACTAAATTACGCTCAAATGAGTCCAATCCAGCATACAATTGCTTTTCAACCCGCTTCTATGAAAACTTATTTCCTAAACTGCCAAGCCTGGTTCCACCACTTGGAATCAGGATCAAACCACACATAACTGCAGCTAAAATTGATCTCGACATCATTGCACCATACCGACTTCTATCCTCACCACCATGGCAAATGGTGAAACCACAGGTCGATCTCACCCTCACCAAACTCAAAAGTCTGAAACAAATCCCTTTGGTGTTCCAACAGGAATACAACCAGTTACGTTCTAAAGTATAACACTCACATGTCCATTTTCACAGACGGATCCAAGGACGATGGCCAAATTGCCAGCGCTTACAGTCATTGGAGCCAAGACTGTCTCCTCTAGGATCCCCCGACAACAGTTCCATTTTCACCGCTGAAGCCAAAGCTATCTTCTCAGCTTTGACCTACATTCAACAGCAAAATCAGTCCAAAACTTCATCGTATTTACAGATTCATTATCCTGCCTTCAAGCACTTCTAAATGTGACTTCAAGTCACCCAATCATCCTGGACATATTAGAACTGTACAACGACCTTTCTACTGGCCAATATGACATCATCCTCTGCTGGTTGCTGGGTCACGTCGGCATAGCAGGTAACACTAAGGCCGATGCTGCAGCAAAAGCAGCTCTTGAAAAGCCCCTATCTCCACTGCTAATCCCATACAGTGACTTCAAACCCACTATCAAAAGCTATACTCGGGACCTGATGCAAAAAAGGTGGGACACTCAAGTAGGAAGAAACAAACTCCATGAATTGAAGCCAACAATCGGTTATACCTACTTGGGTTGTCAGTCAAGATGTGATGAAGTAATTTTACGACGATGTCGCATTGGCCACAGTCGATTTACACATGACTATCTGATGAAAACGGATGGGGATGGACCCCCCATGTGTGTCTCTTGCGATGAGGTGTTCACCATCAAGCATATTCTGCTTGAATGCGTGGACTTATCGCCAACGAGGGACTCACATTATGATGCAACAAACCTAAAAGATCTGTTCGCACGCGTGAGCGCCCATCTGATACTGAACTACCTGAGGGAAGTTGATATGTATCATAAATTGTAACTGTGAAATGTAACAACCATAAATTGTAACTATGAAATGTAACAAACCGCCTGCCTTTAAATTTGATGCTATGACTTCTTCTGCTTTTGAATGACAATGTAATCAATAAATGTCTTTGAAATAAAACTCATTCCGAGTATGTACTTACAATATTTACTAATGCAAACTTGTTCTCGTCACTATATGGCTGGAAAAATGCTGATGTGACGTAAGGCTCAACTCAACTCAACTCGAACTCATTTAAAAGATTAGAATCTGTAAGTGATAGATCGAGAGCAGAGTATGATCCAGTGACAGGTAGGAGGTAGGTGTTTGATCCATCGTTGAAGGTGCATACATCATTATTTGAGAGAAACTCTTCAAGGACCTTTCCCTTACTATTTGTGTCAGTACTCCCCCCATAGGGGCTTATGGCCGTTGAAGTCGCCCATGATTATGCAGGGCTTTGGGAGTTGATCATATAATTTCTGAAGATCTGATAGGCGAACAGTTGAGGTGGGAAGGAGATAGAGGGAACATAGTGTAAACCCTATGTTCAGAGTCATGCGGACAGCAACAGTTTGTAGGTTGGTTTTAAGTGGAACGGGGCTATGAAGGACGCCCTGCCTCACCAGGACAGAAGTGCATCCTGTAGCTTTTACACCGGAAGGAGAAAACGAGTGGTTGGAACTGTACCGACGGATGTCAAATTTATCAGTCCTTTTTAGGTAGGTTTCTTGGAGACAAAATGCGGATGGTTTGAAGTCTTGAATCAATAGCTGTAGTTCATTATAATTATTCTTAAGTCCTCTGCAATTCCATTGGATAATGTTTTGTGGATTCATGGTGCTTCCACTGGTGACATGTCACGTGAACGTGAGAAAACGTTTGATGAACTCCTATTGGTGTGAGGTGGAGTTGGAGTTACTTCCAGTGGAACACTCAAATAGGAGGCACCCATGAAGGGCCACCTCCTCGTGGTGGGTGCTGGGTCACGTTAAGCGCCCTTCGACCCCCGGTTGTGGACCCGGGGGGATATTTGGCCCACCAACCCGTTTGCCATGGGTTGCGCCCCTGTGTCGGTGGAGGACGGGAGGCTGGTGGTTGAGGACATTGGTTCCAGGTACAGTGTTCCTTTGCCCAACACACCACTTCGCCCCTTACTTCACCTAGACGGGTGGTAGAACTGGCCCGGTTCTATCAATCTGCTGGTCACGCCATGCCCTGTGCATAGTGTACATTTTTGCACATTTAACTCTCTTGGGGTTTTGGCCATTTTGATTGTGTATTTATAAATTATTGTTCTATTTAATTGCCTAGAGTCCTATGCCAGAAGGCGGTGGCTCATGGGCCAATCTGGCACTATTGACCTCCGGGTTCTGTTTGTCTTCAGGTAAATGTCTAGGGTGGAACCAGCCTTACTTTTATTCTGTTTGATTATTATAGCTACCAGTGTCTCTTTTGCTGTAGTATAGCATCCCTGTAACCCTGGTGTTCATAGTCGGCTTCCACTTCGACACCGTCCTTGTTGATACTCCATGGTGGGTGGGGAGCGGGAATGTTGAATGATTTCCCTGATCATGGCAACCTTACTTCAGACTGGTTCTAGATCCAAAAATAAAAGAAGACATTTAGATACAGATACCATTTGTTCTTCTGAGGATGAAAGTGTTTCTCAAAGCAACATCGACTCATGGCCACGGTTTCTGGTGGTTAATGGCGTTGATGGAGCACCTCTCCAGATTAACCCTTTTGTTGTGTCCAAGGCTGTTGACGGGATTTGTGGAGATGTCAAGAATGTAACGCGTCTCAGAAATGGGTCCCTGCTTGTCGAATGTTCACGGCGTCAACACTCAGTTAATCTTCTCAAAGCAGATCATTTTGAAACTACTGAAATCGCTGTCTCTGTGCACAAATATTTAAATTCGAGTAGGGGTGTCATCCGAGATCTTGCAAGGTGTCTTTCTGACATGTCCGAGGATGAGATAGCATCAGAACTCAAATCTCAAGGAGTCACGTCTGTGAAAAGGTTCACCAGAAAAGATCAGGATAGAGTTGTACCAACGACCACTTATCTTCTTACGTTTGCGTTTCCCAAAGTACCGTCATCAATCAAGGCTGGTTATTTCAACATCGGAGTGGATGTATATATACCAAATCCACTCCGATGTTATAATTGTCAGAAGTTTGGGCATGGGGCGAGGTCTTGTACTAAGTCCCCAACTTGCTTCCGTTGCAGTAAAGATCATGATGGTACTACCTGCACAGATGACATTCGGTGTGCTAACTGCAACGGTGAGCACTTCTCTTCATCAAAATCCTGTCCATTCTACCAGAAACAATTACAAATACTCAAACGCAAGCATACCAATAATATTTCCTTTTCTGAAGCAATTAAATTACTGACTCCGTAAACTCTTACTACTACATCCACAATCTCGTACTCTGCTGCCATTTCATCTTCAAAGTGTACTGTTGACAGAGCATGTCAGACTGACATCTGCTGGGTCACGGACAAACAATCACTGTCTACATTTGCTAAACATGGCAACAAATCTTCAACGTCTGCATCACAGACTGAGATTCAGAGTGACTGTTCAACTGCACCTGAGCTAGTGCTAGAATCTGAAACTGAGACTGCAAAGTTATCACCAAAACCTGTAAAACTGACAAGCAAAGAAAGGAAACAATTAAAGAAGAAAGAGTCCAGGACCCTCAAACATGTAGAGGTGCCGTCCCCATTAAGATCTCCTGTAGTGGTTCATAACAATTTTGAACCTTTAGACATGGAAGTCAATTCTTCTCCACCAACTCAACGGAAAGGATCTTCCTCAGGATCACGATCTCCAGTTCAGCCTCCATGAGCTGTACTTTCAATATTCTTCAGTGGAACTGTAGAGGCCTTAGAAACAATTTCAATGATTTGCAACTTTAAATTCAAGACTTCAAGCCATCAGCATTATGTTTGCAAGAAACCTATCTAAAACCAAGTGATAAATTTGATATCAGACAATATGATTCCTACAAATGTTCCTCACCTCCAGGTGCTAAAACTACTGGAGGATCTTCTATTTTAGTGAATCATGGAACTATCCACAGTCGTGTTCCTCTCAATACCCCTCTTCAGGCAGTTGCGGTCCGTGTTACTTTGCATATTGTTGTTACCTTATGTTCATTGTATATCCCACCATCATCGTCTCTGCAGCAATCTGATCTTCAGATGCTTTATGACCAACTCCCAAAACCATGTCTTATCATGGGAGATTTAAATGGTCATAACCCACTTTGGGGTAGTAATACCACCAACGCAAAAGGAAAGATTCTTGAGGACTTTGTCACAAATAATGATTTATGTATTTTCAATGATAATTCTAACACATATCTTCATCCTGCAACTGGCTCATACTCCTCTCTAGATTTATCCGCTGCAGACTCCAGCTTATACAATGAATTTGAATCGTCAGTCCACGATGATCTTTGTGGAAGTGACCATTTTCCCACTGTTCTTTCAGCCATAAACCCCAGTGATGCTGCACCATCGTCTAGGTGGAACTTTAACAAGGCAGATTGGTCTTTATTCGATGCCTTGTGTACAAACAGATTAAAACCTGATTTTTTTCTAAATGTGTCTGATCCTATTCAGATGTTTTCTGATGAATTGAATATGATTGCTGATGATTGTATTCCCAAGTCCTCTATGGTCCCACACATCCGTAAGCCATGGTTACTATTGACTGCAAACAAGCTAGAAAGGCTAGGAAAAAGGCAGAAAAATATTTCCGTCGGCACCCAACAGTCCATAACTTAAACCAATTTAAAATTTCAAACGCCAAGGCTCGTCGTACATTCAAACAAAATAAACGACAGTCATGGCGAAATTATGTTTCTAAAATTAACTCACGAACACCTATTTCTAAGGTATGGAATGTGGTGAAGAAGATAAAAGGTAAAGGTTCCAAATGTAGTGTGCACCATCTTAAGGAGGGTGACTCTTTTTTAACAGAACAATCTGATATTGCTAACAAATTAGGTGAAACTTTAGCCAAACATTCCTCCTCATCCAATTATTCACCAACTTTTCAGAAATGTAAAAAACCAGCAAGAAAAAAAGAAAATTTATTTTAATTCCGATAATGGGGAGGATTATAATGAAATCTTTTCCATTCATGAGCTCCATACTGCCCTTGGGCAAGCTCATGACACTGCTTCAGGTCCCGATAATATTCATTATCAGCTTCTTAAACATCTCCCTGAATCATGTTTAGAAACATTATTAAATATCTTTAACAGTATAAGGACTTCTGGTAATTTCCCACCATCATGGCGCAATGCCGTAATCATTCCTATTCCTAAACCTGGGACGGGATCATACTGATCCGTCTAATTACAGACCAATTTCTTTAACTAGCTGTGTTTGCAAGACAATGGAACGTATGGTTAATAATCGTCTAGTTTGGTACCTGGAAACCAACAACCTCATCACTGACATTCAATGTGGTTTCCGGAAAAATCGTAGTACCATCGATCATTTGGTACGATTGGAGTCTTTCATAAAAAATTCCATGCTAAATAAACAACATGCTGTGTCGATTTTTTTCAATCTTGAAAAGGCATATGATACGACATGGAAGTTGAGTTTAGTTGAGTTGAGATGAGCTTTACGTCACATCGGCATTTTTCCAGCCATATAGTGACGAGAACAAGTTTGCATTAGTAAATATTGTAAGTACATACTCGGAATGAGTTTTATTTCAAAGACATTTATTGATTACATTGTCATTTAAAAGCAGAAAAAGTCATAGCATCAAATTTAAAGGCAGGCGGTTTGTTACATTTCATAGTTATCCCCTTCCCACTCTGTATTTGAAACTACTTTTAGCAAGTCTAGAGCCTTCAAGCACTTGGTTTTCAAATATTTTATCTCAGGTAAGAATGTCAGGTGGCGGTCGAATATGAGTCCCAGGAATTTGGCCTCTTCTACTATCTTGATGGGAGTACCATCTAAAGATAGGTCTGGATCCTTGTGTGGTTTGTATTTACGACAAAAGTGAATACAATTTGTTTTAGATTTTGAAAACTTAAAACTATTGGCCCATTTTTGGATTTTGTTAAGGCAGAGTTGAAGCTGCCTTTCTATTGCGTGCATGTTCTTACCACGACATGAGATATTGAAGTCATCCACGAAAAGGACCCATCAACGCAACTGTTCAGGACGTTAGTGAGGCTGTTAATTTTGATGCTAAAAAGTGTGACAGACAGGATGCTGCCTTGGGGGACGCCCTGATCTTGGTGGAAATAGTCAGACAGTGTGGAACCCACCCGAACTTGAAATTGTCTGTTATTTAAAAACCGAGATATGAATTGAGGTAATCTACCCTCAATCCAAACTCGTGTAAATCTTTTTAGGATACCATGTTTCCATGTTGTATCATATGCTTTTTCTAAGTCGAAAAAGATAGATACTGCATGTTGTTTGTTGACAATGGAGTTTTTGATGAATGCTTCCAGACGCACCAGATGGTCAATGGTACTTCGGTTTTTTCGGAAACCACATTGGAGGTCACTGAGGAGGTTATTGGTCTCCAGGTACCAGATTAATCGATTGTTGACCATGCGCTCCATGGTTTTGCAAACGCAGCTAGTTAGTGATATAGGACGGTAGTTTGAGGGATTAGTATGGTCGCGACCGGGTTTTGGTATAGGGATGATAATGGCATTGTGCCACGAAGGGGGAAAGTGTCCGGATGTCCAGATGTCATCAAATATATTTAGTAGTGTTTCCAGGCCTGTGTCAGGGAGGTGTTTTCAGAAGCTGATAATGGATTTCATCAGCTCCTGCCGCAGTATCGTGAGCTTGTCCTAGGGCAGTACGTAATTCATGGAGGGAAAACGTTTCGTTGTAATCCTCCCCCATTATCAGAGTTAAAATTGACTGGTTTCTTTTTCTTGTTGGGTTTGATATTTCTGGAACTGAGGGTTATAATTTGATGAGGAGGAGTGGTTTGCCAAAGTTTCGCCAAGTTTGTTTGCAATTTCAGATTTATTTGTTAGAAGGGAGTCTCCATCTTTCAGGTGGTGAACTCCTGATTTTGACCCTTTGCCCTTGATCTTTTGAATCATGTTCCACACCTTGGACATGGGTGTGCGGGAGTTGATTTTGATATTTCCTCCATGACCGGCGTTTAGTTTGTTTGAAGGTACGTTTTGGCCTGGCATTTGTCATTTTAACAGCATTCAGGTTATGCACTGTAGGATGTTGTCGGAAATAGTTTTCCGCCTTCTTCCTATTTTTCCTAGCTTGTTTGCAGTTTGTATCAAACCATGGTTTGCGTATGTGCGGGTTTGCAGAGGACTTAGGAATACTTTTGTCTCCGATGGCATTTAGGACGTCTGAAAATAGTTCCATGGGGTCAGGAACATTCCTGAAGTTGTCCGGCTTAAGTTTTTTTGAACATAGGGTTTGGAATAAAGGCCAATTGGCCTTAGTAAAATTCCATCTTGTTGATGGTGGTTCATCCGTGGGGTTGATAGGAGTAAGAATTGTTGGGAAGTGGTCGCTTCCACAAAGGTCGTCATGGACCGACCATTCAAACTCATTTGAAAGATTAGAATCTGTATGTGATAGATCGAGGGCAGAGTATGTTCCAGTGGCAGGATGGAGGTAGGTGTTTGATCCATCGTTGAAGATGCATACATCATTATTGAGAAACTCTTCAAGGATCTTTCCTTACTATTTGTATCAGTACTCCCCATAGGGGTTATGGCTGCTGAAGTCGCCCATGATTATGCAGGGCTTTGGGAGTTGATCATATAAGTTCTGGAAGATCTGATAGGCGGACAGTTGAGGTGGGAGGGAGATAGAGGGAACATAGTGTAAACCCTATGTTCAGAGTTATGTGGACAGCAACAGTTTGTAGGTTAGTGTTAAGTGGAACAGGGCTATGGAGGATTCCAATCAGGATCAGGGTGTTCCACAAGGCAGTATTTTGTCTGTCACACTGTTTAGTATTAAGATTAACAGTTTATCAAAGGTTTTAAATGATTCAATTGATGGATCACTTTTGTGGATGATTTTAATATTTCTTGTCGTGGTAAAAATATGCATACTATTGAACGGCAATTGCAGTTGTGTTTAAATAAAATAAATAAATGGTGTCTTGAAAACGGCTTTAAATTTTCCAAGTCCAAAACTAATTGTCTACACTTTTGTAGAAAATATAAGCCGCATAAACACCCAGAACTATCTTTAAATGGCACTCCGATCAAAGTTGTCAAGGAAGCCAAGTTCTTGGGTCTATATTTCGACTCTCGTTTAACTTGTTTGCCGCATATTAAATCCCTTAAAGCCAAATGCCTGAAGGCCCTTAAATTGTTGAAAGTTGTATCCAACTCAAAGTGGGGAGGGGATCAAGCTACCCTCCTCCACTTATATCGGTCATTGGTCCGCTCGAAACTTGATTATGGCTCCATCGTATATGGTGGAGCCTGCAGAAGCAACCTAACACTACTTGATTCTGTCCACCACCAAGGCCTAAGACTTTGTCTTGGGTCTTTTAGAACCTCTCCTATTGAAAGCCTCTATGTTGAGGCTGATGAACCATCCCTTACCCAACGTCGTGTCAAACTATCTTTACAGTATATAATAAAACTCTATTCTAACGAGTCTAATCCTGCATTTAACTGTGTTTAAATCCTCTTTATGAGGAGTTGTACAACAAAAAGCCATCTCTTTGTTCCGCCTCTTGGTTTAAGAATTAAACCATTTCTTTCTGCTGCCGGCATTGAGCTGGAAAATATATCTCCTTCCCGTCTTCTTTCTTCTCCTCCTTGCCAACTGGTGAGGCCTGAAGTTGACCTAACTCTGACAAAGTTTAAGAAATCTGAAACTAATGAATTACAATATAAACAAGAACATAATCAATTAAAAATCAAATATAATACATACAAAACCTTATTTACAGATGGGTCCAAGGATGGTGGTGCAGTGGCGTGTGCCACTGTCATTGATCCAGAACAATATCTTCTAGACTACCTGATAACAGCTCTATTTTTACAGCAGAAGCAAACGCCATCTTAACAGCTCTTAAATATATTCAAAGACATCCCAAACATAAACAATACATAATATTTTCAGAATCTCTTTCGTGTCTTCAGGCTATTAAAAACTTATCCTGTAAACATCCACTTTTAATAGAAATTATTGAGTTATATAATGAACTTGCTACTGGCCAATGCGACATCGTCTTCTGTTGGTTACCCAGCCACGTTGGCATTTCGGGGAATATAATGGCCGATCTTGCTGCCAAGGTAGCACTCAACAAATCTGTGACACCACTTCTTCTTCCTTACTCTGATTACAAAGCTTGCATAAGAACTTATATCCGTGATCTGATGCAGAAGAAGTGGGACACCCAAGTAGGTATTAATAAATTACATGCAATAAAACCAACTATCGGTTACACCTACTGGGGTTGTCAGTCCAGATTTGAAGAGGTCATCATGCGACGATGTCGTATTGGCCACACTAGATACACGCATGCATACCTATTGAAAGGTGAGGATCCTCCGTTTTGTATCCCTTGTGATGAGAGAACCACGGTCAAGCATATCCTGCTTGACTGTGCTGAATTCTCCATCATAAGGGATAAATACTTCAATGTGAAAACAGTTAAGGATCTTTTACTACTGTTAATTCTCATTTAATTATTGTGTTTTTAAAAGAAATTGACTTAATGAATGAATTTTGAATAATATGCTCTGTACATATCTGTATTTTAATTATTGGTAGATTTGATTAGTAACTTAGATTGTTAGTGGCTGTACCCTCAAAGGGGGTTGAAGTATTGTAAAATTATTGTCCTCCTGAGCGGGTACGTAAGTCCCAAACCATTTCAAGTAAATTTAAGTATACCAGGTGTTTTAATCGTAGTATTTTGTCATTTTAATGTATGGCTAATTCTCGGTATAAACGCCAACAGTTGAAGGGATGGTGTAAATCCAGCTAGGGTCCATGCAGGTAGCAAAAGTAATGTAAGTCCCCATGGCTCCTAGTATGGTGATCTACCTTCAGTTGTTGGCGATCTATAGCCCATTTTATCTTGTGTTGTCCTCTATAGTTAAAATGTTTTAGCTTCCAATTACTAGTTTTAAATATATATCTGTGATACACTAGTAGTTTTACTGTCCTTCGTCGGCAGGTTTCTTACTGTCTATACTTTATTCTTTCTATAATATAATTATAAACTTTTCTCGTCACGATATGGCTGAAATATTGCCGATGTGACGATAAATATTAACTCACTCTCTCACTCACTCACTCACTCAAATAGGAAGAAACAAACTTCATGAATTGAAGCGAAGATTTGGTTATACCTACTTGGGTTGTCAGTCAAGACGTGATGAGGTAATTTTACGACGATGTCGTATTGGCCACAGTCGGTTTACACATGACTATCTGCTGACTGTGTGGACTTATCGTCTGCAAGGGACTCGCATTATCATGCAACAAATCTGAAAGATCTGTTCTCCCGCGTGAGCGCTCATCTGATAGTGAACTACCTGAGGGAAATTGATCTATATCATAAATTGTAACTGTGTAATGTGACTAACGATTTGCCTGCTTTTAAATTTAGTGCTATGACATTCTCTGTGTTTAAATGACAATGTAATGAATATATACTGAGTCAAAAAAAGAAACTTCACATTCTGTCTTCAGGGCACTATAAAAGAACAAAAGATGGTAAGATGGTTAAATTGTTATTATTTCATTGCTGATATCTGTGTGATGTACTCGATACACTGACAGTGCCATAATCAGTTCCATTAGGCTACACCGCCATTCCGAAACATGGGTATACAGAATGTCAAGTCACAAGAATAAAAATGCGAAATTTCTCAGTTCAATATTGTGTATGGCCGCCCCGCGCATTCACCACTGCCAAACACCGTCTCCCTCATCGACTGCCTGATGCTTGTAGAACACGTGGTTGGGGATTCTGCGCCATTGCTCTTGCAAGGCAGCGCCAAGTTCCTGCAAATTTGAGGTTGGTTCCTAAGACCACGAAGCCTTCTCCCAAGTGCATCCCAAACGTGCTCTATTGGATTAAGGTCAGGGGACCTCGATGGCCAGTCCATGACGTTGATTCCAGCGTTTTGAAGGAAATTTCGTGTCAACATCGCGGTATGCGGCCGAGCATTATCATGCTGGAACTGTAGACCTGGGCCATGAGCCGCCATGAAAGGAACGAGTTCAGGGGTGAGCACCTGGTCGCGGTAAGCAGCAGCTGTGAGGTTTCCACGGATGACCAGAAGTCGGGAACGGTTGTTTCCACAGAAAGCACCCCACACCATGCAACTTCCGCCCCCGAATCTGTCGACTTCCTGTACACAACATTGGGCATACCGTTCACGACGTCGTCTCCAGACTCGATGCCTGCCGTCCGCGAATCTGAGGGTAAACCTGGATTCATCGCTAAAGACGACTCGATTCCAGTCTCTCTGGGTCCATCGGAGGTGACGTTGGGCCCACAGCAGACGTTGACGTTGATGAAACGGCGTCAATATTGGCCCACGATATGGACGTCGAGAATGGAGATTGGCAGCCCGCAACCGATTTCGAATGGTCTGTGGGGACAGTCTACCTCTAAACATCTCATCCCTGGTTCGTGTAGCCAGCAGCATCCCATTGCTCTTGCAACGTCAATAACTGATCTTCCCGCTTGCAACATGCCAACTGCACGTTCACGTTGCACATTTGACAATCGTGGCGTTTCAAGTACCGTTGGAACTGTGGTTTACAAGTGTTTTTTCAGTTCTTGAGGCCAATGCAAACGCGTGCACATGAAGAAAACTTCGATGCGAAGATCACGTGATTGACTGCATGTGCAAAACCTGATTTGGCACTAACGTCATGTGCACGAGGAATGGATGGGTTTGAGTGGGTTTTGCTAACGTTTTCCTAGAGTCGGAAGATAGGGATCCCATTTCGGATACACAGACGTATCATCAGAGAAAAATTATTCATTATTATTCAAATTACATTTTGTGAAGTTTCTTTTTTGACTCAGTATATGAACAAGTATGTATTTTGGGGTTCAAATGGGGAATCCTCCTTCTTTCTTGTAAAACGTTTAACTGAAGACACTCCTCCATCTTTTAATTATGTTGTTATTTCCTGCTCCGGCATGCCAGACACGGAGTAGAATGTCTCTGGTTGAGTAGAAGTAGCATTGTCATGCTGGAACAACTCACTCTGTTGGTCTGTAATCGGAAGCATGTGACGTGCACGGACTTCGTTGATGTACGGATTTGCTGTCAACATCCCCTGAACCACCAATCAGATGTTTGTGTGTAGGATATCTCACCCCATACCATGACACTAATTCAACCGAATCTGTCGAATGCAATTAGGAGCAAAATGTTGATTTATCCGACGGTAAACGCGTTGTCTTCCATCTTGCCTGTGAAGAAAAAATCGTGAGTCATCACTGAACCAGACTCGCCTCCAGTTTCTCAGGTGACAGTTCAGTACTCTACGACACCCGAGCAATCGATTGCGCCGATTGAAGTCTCTCAAATCAGGGGCAACAACTGGCCTTCTTGGTCGAATCTCCACTTCACGCAACCCCTTCCTGCCAGCTTGGTCGGAAATACTTCTCAAACCTCTCAAACCAGTCTCCATTGCTGTCGCAAGACCATGAGGCAAATAAGGACCCGGATGTAGCGGTCCTGGACTTGGGTGCTAACTTTGGACAGCTGCTTCAATGATCGGGCGGAATTTGTCTGCAAGTAACAATCCCAAAGGCGAGACATGG